GTATTCTTGCAAGAATATTTTGTTTAATTAATTTTTCCAATCTTTCCGTCAATCTAGGAAAAGGCAATATTTTACAGTATTTTATTGACTGAAATCTCTCCGAATTAATCACATTACTATTTGCTAGAAATATGCCGGGGCGATGTCGCACAGATGCGAACAATCATCAGAAATGCATCGGATGATCTTGGTGTCAATGTGAAGCGCACGGCGTTACCGAGACAATTATGGCGCCTTCCGCCCTCTCGATAGGATTAGAAATCCTGCGCGCCTGACCCGGACCGAGCTTATACTGCGTGACTATTAACCGACTTGCAAATTGCCCTTTATCCAGTTTCTCCCGTTAAACGAGCGTCGTCGACGAACGGCGACGCGGCCGTTCGCTCGTTCGCCAAGCCGGGCGATATCCGGCCGCGATTAGTCGACTTCTGTGCCGTGGGCGCGGGCCCGAGAGCTAGACGGATAGGATAATCCGATAATTCCATTAACCCGCATTGTAATGCCATAAAGTTTCGCCTTAAACCGCCACGTGACCGCCACAGTCATCTGCGGCGGCCGTCGCGCCGCTCGTTATTTCGTCGAAAATTACGTTCCATCGCGCCGCGAACACCGCACCACCACGTCGAGCATCACGAAAATCAGCCGTGTTAGTATCTTCTCTGCATTATCCGTCGCGCTCTTCATCATTTTTCGTTATAACTAGCCGGAGGCAATGATAAATCGATTAGCGCGTTCGTGTAATACAACGAGATGAGCGTTTGTAATGGAGATATATTCTCGCGTTCTCTTTTAAATCGGATTTGTCTGTAAATTACAAATTAAGTAAATTACAAATCTTTGATCTGTAATAATCTAAATTTGTCTGTGAGTTTAATTTTTTTTCAATTGAATAAGGGTTTACATTATTTTTTTGCGTTTTTTAATACTCAACAAAAAATACTTTTATGAATCAACATCTACTGATGTCATTTATTTTAATAAAGATTTGATGAAGAATATAAGCTTATTGCAAGAATATGAAAGATTTCTTCTACTGTATACATCTTTTCTTTATAAATGTTGCAGCCTAAAATGAGCTATCATGTCAAATATTGTAAAACATTTTTGTAAATAATGATACGATATTAATCCAATAACATCTCATATAAGTATTATCTTGTTAATATATAGTTATATATTTTTAAACATTACTTTATATTCTTGCTTAAAGCACGCAATTGTTTTGCATTACTTCAACGAGTGATCAACTTGAAATGATCATTGCGAAGAACATTAAAACAAGAGAGGGTCAATCGATTTACTTGTCATTCACGAGTAAACAATCTTGATTTACGATCAAAGCCAACTCCTCTGGACTTGACTTACGACTTAATTTACAATTAAATCGGCCTCGTTGCACGTTTTTCCGAAAGTTTTACCTCCAACAAAATATCCTGATGATTTCATCGAGATCAATATCTAGAACTGATTCTTCGCACCGGCGTACTTTTCCTGTTTATTCCTCGTTTGCTCCGTCGAAGGCATACAACGGCTAACTCTGAGAGTGGCGGAGAGTATATCCGGGAGATCTGTATTCGCGTGCTGTGCCAGTTCGAGATCAAGCTTTGGCTTCTTCGAGCGAATTCAATCCGGCCAACTCGGTAATTCGTTCCCGGCGATCCTGCCTTCGCTTTGTCGCGACCGTCACAATTTCCTCCTTGTTAGCCAGCAGAATTCGACGAAGAAGCCGGACCCGAATTTCGCGAACGAGCGTCTTTGTTACTGAAGGAGTTTGATAAAGAGAAAGAGAGAGAAACATATTGCGTGAGCCACGTCGCAATCGATAATGTCTTATGATAAATCATGGAGAAACTATAGGAATATTTTATCTTAAACACCGAAAAAAATCTATATAATTTACAATAAATTTAATAGCGTTGCGTTTTTTTTTCACAAATGTGCAAAATAATACTTTGTGTAAATAATAAATAATAAATTAGTAAAACTAAAAGAAGATGAAAATAAACTTTCCGTGCTGCGTAGCTCCGAGAATTGAATTCAATCTTTATCAAAATTACATCGATTTTAACTCCGTGTCGGTTCCATGTTACAGCTGGGTGAACTGCGGTGTTTACCTGCGACGCCTATATCGATCGCGCTCTCACAGCCACGCGGAATTACGTTTCGTTATAAGCCACGCTGTGGCAGCGCGGCACGTAACGCGAGAACGAACGTCATTACGCCGCTATTTCATCGCGAATGACATATCGCGGCTAAGGGCGGGCGTTACAGCTTTGCCATTCCGGCATCCGGCGGCGTGGCGTCGACCGCCGTTTGCTACCGCCGCGCCGCTCCCGTTCGTGTAACACGCTCTTACATGGATGGAGAATTGCTTCTCCGCCGCTCCGTGTCGAGACGCAATTCTCAATGTGTGGAAGACCGATTATTCGCCCTTACTCTTTGTGAATCAAGGATATTATGCTCATTATGCATGGATTGCGTGAGGAAAGGGTCAACGAGATGATGCATAGGGTAATACATACGTTTCCCGGATTATTCGTACTTTGTTTCGTCTACGGATTTATTTGGCATCCTACAATATTCACGCGCCTAAATTATCCATATCCTCATCTTCCGTACTCTTTCCCAAGCATTATCACTATTTATAATATCCTGACGGAGATCCGTGCATCCGTTAGCTGCGCGAAATTGCATTGCTAATACGGAAGAGAAAGAGAGAGAGAGAGAGAGCTACGGGCGCACGTAATTAGGCGAAACACGCGAATTATGCCAGTTACTTCGTTAAGCGGAAGGACCAACGCGGTGCCTGCGTTGGATTAAGTTTTTCAGCCGAAAACTCGCATTAGCTTAATAAACGTGGCAGTGTCCATAGACCGCGAAGTTGTGTTTCGGTAATTTACAGCTACTTTGCTTGCACGGCACGTCGCGGCGCTCGCAGTGCTCGGCCGGGGGTGTCGTGCATGCACAACGAAATTGTAAGTTAACTACGTAATTCGTTTACTAATTATCGACACCGTTGTTGGCGTGCAATAGCAGTGATTATTACGACCAGCATTTTCAAAAACAAAAAAAAAACGGGCGTGATAAAGTAACGAGTAATTGAAAAAGTGTATGATGCATTCGGTCGAAGTTTAAGCGCATTACCCGCCAATGTTATCGCCGCTGATGGAGCGGTGAGAAATTAGTCAGCCGAGTTGACGACCCTTGATATTCTTTGCTGAATTAATAATTGGCTAAAAATTATTATCCGTAAATCGCATTCAGAGAACCGTCTCGCGACAGAATTTGCTGCCACGTCGACGAAGTCGAGTAAAACATCCGTCTGTTTTCGATGGCTCGCGGTTCAGGCTTTCGTCTAACCATCGGGCTCAAGCCCGTTTTTCTCCTGAAAACGATGCATTACGGTAATAACCCGACGAGCAACAGCCGCGAACGCTGTCTCGCTAATTTCATCGCGCCGCATTGCGCTTCGAAACGCAGCCCGCGCGTCCCGACGCACTGCGTCGGGAAACGATGCGGGAGTATACAAGAGTACCAGAGCGAACGAGTTAACCGGCTAAGTAACCACGCTCGGTGCACTTCCTAATCACCAAAGGCACCGAGAGAGTGCTTTTAAACCTCCCTGCCTCCTTCCGCAGTTACATCCTTATTCATATGAAGGCCTCTATTAGACCTTCCATTATTCTGATTATATCGCGAAAGAGAACGAAGCGGCGCGGGAAGAACCTCGTGAAATATATTAGTTAAAATAAGGTTAAGTACCGCCCAAATCCTCCTCCCGCCCCCTTTCATCCCCTTGGTAAGCTCGGCCGAATCATGCAACTCTGACCCGGATTATAATCTTGAACTACTGATGATAATTGTTTTGCGACGAGAAAATTTCTATATCCGTATTCGAGAACTCGTATATGGTTATCGGGTCTCGCTCTTAAATGGATTCATCCCCGCGGGATGCGGTTCGACATACGGGGACGAGAGAACATTTTCGGCGATGAGCATCGTTAAAAGGTACGGGATGCGCTTAATGGATTTGTTTTATTATTTCGCGTTTCGTCGAATCAGTGTAACGCGCGTTTTCGCGCGCGGCGCGCGCGAAAACATTTCATATTGGATCTCGCGCTGTTTTAATCCGACAGCGATAAAATATTGAAGCAAGATATGGAATTTATGCGCGGCACAGTGGATATGTGTATATGGGCGCGGGTGAAAATAAATACGGTACGCGGAACGGTGTCATAAATCTGCGCGCGGTAAAACACGCTTTGAACGTTTATTTCCGCGCGAATTTTCGCGCCCCCGCGTATTTAGAGCGGCACCGTCGAATCGTCGAAGGAGTCTGGAATTCGATTATGAAATCCAATTTGGTTCGCAACGATGGTTCCGAAACCCTGATTTTCATTCTGACGTTCCCGTTCCGTTCCGTACGCGAGTCCCGGCTCACTTTGGAAATAATGCAGCGTATGACCTACTTTGACGATAACTTTCCAATGGTTAGTTTCCGATTCGCGCACTCCACTATAAAATTCCACATACGAATTAGTACGAATTAACCTTTTAATTATTTTGCACATGTGCATCGTATTTTCAAACATTCATACGTGTCAAATTTATGAAGATATAATTTAATCTAATATTTAACGTGGATTTTATGTGACGTTGTTTAAAATATGAGAATTGAGTTAAATGTTGTGTATGTTACATTTATCTTTTCACTGTATGTTTTATCTATATTCTATTAAACACAGTTTATCTAAATATGTACAAGAAAATGTGTACGAGAGTAACTTGGCGCATTACGAAATTTTTATTTCGCGCGGAGCTCTCGTTTCTATTTGCAGAGAAGCGCGCGTAATTTTTTTTCCCGTCGCTGCACGCTAATGACTTTTGCTTTGAAAAATCTCTGAAAAGCGCAGTGGTTTGCACACCCGGGACGAATTAATAAAATATTTAGCAAAGCCGGGATCGCTTGAATCTAGCCGCTCATCGGCGGCGATACGTGCACAGGGAAATAGGAAGGAACATGCCCGTGATCAGCAAATAGGAAACCCAACTGCGTCGCGCGCACCAGCACATATGCTGCCGGCACACACAGGAGTCATGAGCTAAATCCCGAAGTCCACAGTCGTCGGAGCCGTCGTAAAAATCTTCGGTGCAATTCGTCGTTTGAGGAAATGTCGATGCTTTAACCTCGCCATGGCGGATCATCGTGACGGATTTTAGGATCCTCGGGAGCGACGAAAATTGGGTATTTGTTTTGCCAGAGGTATCCATAAAATGACCGTGGAATTTCGCGCGGACACCTCGTGTTGTTTTCGATGAGCGACCCGCCGGAGAGACGATAAACGCGCGCGTTTGAGAAAATATAATATCACAGACTCCGCTATTAATAAGCTCATAAAGCGAGCGCATATTCGCAGCAGATTGCTTCGCAGAAGCAGTTATTTCAACGTTTAATTGTATTAGCGCGCGATAGACGGCGATTTAACCCAACGATTTATCGCTCGCTCCGAGGGATTTATCGCGCCGTTACGCACGTGAGGTGCACCGTTCCCGTGCCTGTCGCACGTGCGTTACGGACATTCGGATTTTGCTGGTGACAATGTCATCTGGGCAAGCTTGCCTCTATCGTGTCGTGATCGGTACCCGACATTGTGTCATTGTCGGAATTTTGGAAAACCGGCTACACATACCTACGCACAATGTAAAAACACTTATGGCACGTCACGTTGCAGTAGATCCCCCATTGTTATTTTACAACAAAATGTATTCCGAGATTTAAATAGACCCTATAACAGATGCATGCGACGTATAAAGAGTTAATCTGACGTGACAATCGATTTTCCACTAAACACGGCAGTTTTAAGAACATTGATCAACATTTGTCCGGTCGTGCGTCTAAACCGCGCTCTCCACATAACTGTGTAAACTCACCTGGCATACATCAGGTTCTCCGATAACAATACCGCGCGCGTCGATCCTCGGGCACATAACGGATCCTAAAATTGTTTGCATAGTTCATTAAACGTGTTACATCGTGCACATGTGCAGGACGGGACGGACCTCTCGGATTAATTATTCGACGAGGCATTTCGTCGAAATAGACGACGCGACGGTAGGACGCGCGGTCGCACGCCATTCGCGACCGTCGCGCGCTAAATGAACGCAATTAGCCGTTAATCGAGTGACTGAGATATCGCCGGGAGTCCCAGTTTAATCCCGAAGTCGAAGTCGCATTACCGCCACGCCGCGGGAAACGGACCCTCCGCGTTAATTCGCGCGGAGGGCCACGTCAGCCGTCTGATAACTATAAATGACGAGTTACGTTGACAAATTACGACAAATCGCGGCAATTTAACATTGCCTCGTTCGGGGATATTATAGGAGGGAGCCGCCGCGCCGTTCCGGGCGTACTCACAATGGAGTCCACGCGCCAGGATAAGAAGTTTCAATCCAGTTGGAAATTGCCTCCTTCCTCGGTCGATCTGGATAGGAGGGACAGCCCCGTGAATCCGTATCATCGATCCAACCGCGCGAGGATGACGCATCCGTGGTGGACACTTCCAGACGCGGATGATCAGAGCGAAGCTGAAATTAGTGGTTTACCGGAATTCGAGTGCGACACGTATGAAAATTCCTATATAGACGCGTGTTCCTGCTGTACTTTTTCGGAGGAGATGATCATTGCGAGACGTCGCGGTTACTGTAAAAAGGAACGATCGAGAAGGGAGGCTTACAGGAAAATCAAGGCGAAAGTGGAGAACGCTGTCAAAGTAATTTTCTGGATTTAATTAGACAAATAGCCAAACTATTAGGAAGACTATTAGAGCCACATTATTCATTATCATGCTCTAAGAGAATTAAATATTTTAAATCATCTGTTTTCTTTCTCACTTTTTCGATGTATTCTCATAAATTTAACCGATTGATAGAAAAATTGCGTTTAGTTATTCACATATACATATCAACGCGATCACCAAATACCGTAATATTTTTACAATTAACATCATTTTATGGCACAATCGCAGAAGCACAAAATATTCCTCCTGCGAGGCGAGCTGCCAAAGCTGAAGGAAGCGCTGGAGGCGCGGGGGTGGGTGCAGAAGTACGAGTCAACTAGAACGAGAGCGCTGCCATACGGTTAGATTGTAGATTGCGAACGATAAAGTTAATGCGCACCGCCGGCAGAATACGGTGCCGAGCGCCACACCGCCGGAGGATGAAATATCGTCGCTAATGTCTACCATTTTCTGTGTGCTTCGACCGATTAGGCACCGCGGCTAACTTAGAAGCTCACTCCCTGGGCGATATCACGCAAGCGGATGGAACATTGAACGAGAGGGCTGTGATTTTTGCCCTGCTGCGGCACAGGCAGTCCGACTTCATATGGGATTGCAGGAACGACTTCGTCAAGTGGCATCGCGGACTCGGCTGCAACGTTCTGCTCAACAAATACCAGAGATCCCATGTTTATACTTCGAAGGTAGCTGCTGCTTCGCAGCAACCGGCCGGCTATTATACCTTCGCCGAAATGGGAAACGCGAATGTTCCGGGAAATGTTTCCTTGAGCCTAGATATTGCTTACATATTCCGCGCTAAACGGTTCGACTCTAAACGTTACTATCCAGTGTTATTTCCAAAACACCTATCGTGTAACTGTCCGAAACATTTTATGAAAATGCCATTTCGCCCGAGCGGCAGTCGCGGGGATCCTTTGCATTCTCGGTCGGAATTGCCGCCGTTACGCGATAAAGGCGAAATCGCGGAGCGGGATCGTCGTCGTCGTCGTCGTCGCGTAGCGCGCGATAAGTAAAACGTTCCCGAATTGCCGCACGTGTGTAGCTCGGAATGGCGCGCTTACTGGAAGATGCATATTGGCTGCACGAGGAGAACGTGTCCGACGCCCTGTTTCCGCGCACCTACAACCCCGGCGAGGATCAATGCGCCTTCGTGGAGGACTTCCGACTGACCGCGGCCGCGGGTCTACTCAAGTGGTTCGTTCGCGGCATGACCGCTGCGGCGGCCGAGGAGATTCTCGTGGCCGGCTCGGAGGGACGACGAGCGATCCCGGTCGCCAGGCTGGAGTTCGCGATAGAACGTTGCGAGGAGTTCGTCGTTGCCGCGACGCACGAAGACATCGATATTGAAAGGAGCGAGCGGCCGTCCGATGAGGAATGGGATCGTTTTCTGGACGATCACACGGCGGCGCTTCATCACGGAGCCGGTGTCGATGGCACGTCGGAAGAGACCCGCGAGGCTCTTCAGGTATAGTTTGCGCGATAAATTGTGCAGGTTATTCGCTAATGGGCTCGCGAAAACAGTTCTTATTTCGCCCTATGTTCCTAGCGCAGAAAATTTTGCTGAAATTAATTAGCTCAGGTTCTCTCCGCTTATTACACTCCGCGCGTTAATTAATTTAACATGGGATTATCACGAGAAATTGCGACCGAACGATTCATAATAATATTCACTAGCATGCACGGCGGTTTCTCGTAATATACCCTCCAGTATTAAATTAATTAATGTATAGAGTATAATAAAGGGAGAAACCTGAATCTCCATTAATATCGGCGAGTTGAATTTTGATTTTATAAGAACCCGCTACTGTTCTTCAATATTTTATTTCTATTACGATGAAATAGCGAGGGGAGACAATGTAGCTTTACGCACGGATATTAATTTCAATCAAATCAGCAGTCTACTTTTATAGCAGACCTTTCCGAATTGATATCAGTTCTTATCAGAATCATTTGTACGATTCTCCAAGAAAATTGCCAACCTAATTTTTAATAACGACGGAGCTTTACGGCAAAAAAGGTATTGCCGAGGTCTCGCGCGACAATGTGGTTCCAGTATTGTACAATCAGTGTTGAATTTGATGATGCCATGCGGTCGCGTTACGCATGGCCGATAATTAGGAAAGGTAATCCTCGGCCTTTTCGGTCATTACGAAACATTAACTGACCCCTTCGACTATACCAGCCCCATAATACGTTTTTTTCCTCTTTGGCGATAGCGCGATACAATTTCCATTTCCCCATCTTACGTATTTTCACGTTGTTTAAGCATCGCTCGCATCCTGAAATCCGTGCTTTCGAAGAAGAAGATGCTGCTCTTTCGGCAGAAGCTTATCACACACGTTGAACGATATCGATTGTGTTAGAATGGCGTGTTTATTTCGCGCTCCCCCGATTCCACGCTAATAATAGACGCGGTTACGAGGTAGCGTAGGCAACAAAACCAAACTGTGTTAATTATTCAAGGCGCACGAAAACATCCTTGCATTAAACATGTTCCGAGATGCTGCCGCGTGATACCATTAACCCTTAACTGATGAAACAAAATTAAAGGGCTCGTGATAACGAAACGCTAAGCCGTACAAGTGAGGGAAAGACGCACGAGATCCTTAACTGATGTTTATTTATTGATTCCGCAAGTTTCTCATTTTTGCATGTCAATTTTATTATAGGTCGGGCTTTGCTTCAATTGAGTGACCTCGCGTAAAAAAAGAAAAAAACGTCACGAGAGAGATGCTTAATTTATTACATCGATTTCTTACAGCGATGAAGTCTTAAGCAGTTCCGTGTCGCGCGCACGTAAATTAGAAAGGAGTCAAATACATGCTTATCACTAGTTTCTATTTAGGTTGTCGTTAAAGCAGTTCCGTTAAAGGAAATGCGCAATTGACACGCGGTCGATGATATTTTGTTCACGTCGCACGGGCGAATTTCGCACGCGATCCACCCCACCTTCGATTCGGGGAGAAGATACGGGTGGCTTCTTGAAATTCGACGTCACCTGACAATCTCTCACGATTCTCCCGATTGAGACATTCCGCGATTTCATTAAATTAATTTCGCTTCGCCGACCGTCGAAATGTGGCCTCCGCTCCGGCCGCCGGGGGATTCAATTCGCGCGCGGCGGATGAATTTATTCGAACTTTCTGGAATTAAAGTCGAGAGATCCAGCGAGTTGCCGTAACGAAAGCTGAGACCCTGCCGCATAAATCGATATCAATATCGCTCGTTCGTAGAGATGCTTCCTGGCCGCCGTCGCGATTTTGGAGAAATTAAAGGCCGTCGATCCGCAGTATGAGATGAGCGACATGAGAGGCATTTGGATCCTGAAACCCAGCCATTTGTGCTGCGGCAATGGTATCGTTATATCCCACAATCTCAAGGACATCTTGCGCAGAGTCGAGCAGAAGCCCAAAGATTATTACATCGTACAGAAGTACATTGGTACGTTTTTTATATAATCGCGCTGCACGAATGTCATTCAACACTTGTTAGTCGCGTTATTTATATTTCAGAACGTCCATTGCTGATCAAAAAGACCAAATTTGATATACGACTATGGTACTTGGTAACAAGTACCTTCCCTCTCACAATATGGCTATTCAAGTAAATCGTATCACAATTACATCATCTTGTATAATATTTAAAAAATATTCTTTTATATTGTCCTTAAAAAAATTATAAACCTTATTCCGTGCGAAAACTATCGCATTTACGTCATCGTAGGTTAAATTTAACTTGACATAATAAAAGAATGTATCAAATAATGTTAGAATTACTGTTCTTACGAAGTTCTCTCATACTTTTACTTTATTTTTATTTTCGCTCGATTACAAAGAACTGAGCAAAAAAAATCTGTTTAAAAACAGTTTTTTTAATTTTACTTTATTCTGTGTTATAATCCGTGCTCTCATTCTTCGCCCAGAGAAGCGTTTCTTCGATTCAGCTCGAAGCCGTACACTTGCTCGAATTATCACGAGGCGATTCACATTTGCAACACTGCCGTCCAGCAGAAGTACGACGAGAAGAGACGCAGACAGCGACGCAGGCAGGGAGACCCCGAGGAACCAGCCGGCAGCAGATCGGTGCGCGATCAAGGATGGGACTGCGAGAAGCTGAACGAATATTTGAAGTAATCTCTCGTCCGTGCACGAAAGACGTTTCGATTATCCATTCGTCACGCCGGTCGACGATCGGTCCGGCCCCCCCGGGGGCATTCCGAGGAAATTGATAGGGCCCGTGTGCAAATAACGCCTTCTTCGAGAAGCGCGTTCGTCCGAGAACGTTCCGCCGGCACGGAACGTTTCGCCGATGATAATGGCCTCGCCGCGCCCTCCTCCCGCCGTTCCCCTTTCTCGAATGACAAATCGAATAAGATTTTTCGATGACACGACGTATATTCGACGTTCAAGTAATTGCGAATAAAATGGAAATATATTATCCGCGGTTTTGCTCGTGAATGGGCCCGGTGTGTCGGTGTGTGCTACTGTCGATGCGCAAGAGATTGTCCCCGAGACGTGCACCCGGGGAATGCATTCCATCGAAGATTTCGCTGCTATTCCATTTTAACGATAATGACTTTGCCGTCGGTTATCTTTGTCACGGCGGTCGAAGCAAATGGCGTCTTAATGACGATCGGATATCGGGAGTTAAAGTACCTTACAAGAGGATAGAGTGACTAAAAGCGTAAAAATATTTTATTGTAAATATGCCAATCGTAATTGGATACTTTATTCTATGATATCTTTATATGTTAATTTTGTTGCAATTTTGTTTAATTTTACAATCTTGCAATTTTTTTAGTCTTAACGGACTTAATTTATTTAATTTGTTTAATTTATTAATCTAATTAACTTTATTATATAAGATAAAATGGAGAATTTGTCCTATTTTGCAGGATTTGTAACTTATTTAAAATAATATGTAATTTTTTATCGATAATCTGATCGTTTGCAATAAAACTATTTGTTTTTAAATAAATAAACTATTTTTTAAAATAAATATTGACTGATAAAACAATTTTAAATAGATCGCCATAAGCAAAGATTTTTCCGATGCAATATATAAAAATATAAAAACTTACAATATTTTTTTAGTTTATTATTTATTTTGGCGAGCCGGTATTTGTGGAAAAAGATATGATTGTTTGCGAAGCCATAGTTTATTTACGATAATTGCACTTTTCAATGAAATACGAGCTTTCATTTTGATTATTGACGCTGAGAGTGGACTTCTCTATCACTACAAATGTTTCAATCTACCGCACAAAGTTTTTTTTACGCTGAAACTTGTCCGATGTATACAAAATATGTTTTATTCAACTCGTTTCATATGAATTAAAAATGCGCTTAAATCATTTTTGTCTACGTGTATCTCATGCTTTTAGTTATGCAAGTTCTAAACTGTGGTATCCATTTTCACTGTGACACTGAGTGACCATTTTATTTTTATAGATAAAAAAAGAATCAATTTCAATATTGCAATGTGGATCTGGCTTTATTTAATTTATGATAGCTTATTGATTTATAATTTATTAATTTTTTTTATAATCGCCTTTTATAAAACATTAATCAGAAAATCCCGGAATATGTAACGCTATTTTATTACTTTTAATAATAAACTCGACGTTAAAATAAGTAAAGAATAAACCCCTCGAAACTGAGACAATAGTAACGTACAGCTGTAAATAAAAAAACTGAAATATATTCACAAGTAAAATAATTATATTTTTATTTTGAAGACTCTACTTATAACTTATTGTTAGATACGAAATTAATAGATCCGTTTGCTCTTCCAGATCCATAGGCCATAAAGGCGAACCGTATTACGATCTGATTTATCCGAAAATGACGGAAGCCATCGTTCTGACGATGCTGGCAGCGCAGAATCTCATGGAGAGACGCCGTTGCAGCTTCGAATTGTACGGTGCCGATTTCATGCTGGCCGATGACATGTCGGTCTGGCTGATCGAGATCAATACCAATCCCCGTATGCATCCGCCCAGCTCCCGACTGACAAGACGCCTTTACTCCAACGTGCTGGAGAGCCTGGTGAAAGGTGAGCGGGGAAACGGGTGTGAGAAAGTTATTAGGTTATATTTGAAAGAATGCTCTTCTGAAGTGGCGAAGAAGGAGGCAAACGTGAACAAACGATAGTAAAACCGGACGATTCGCGTGCTATTAACACCTTGTCTCGCCACGAGCTTTAGAAATCGTCTAACCGCAACCTGCGATTAGACGAGTTACGCGTCGTCCGGACAGCCGACCCGAGACGGCTCCCTCTCGGTTTGCCAGAATGATAACGGTGACCATAATTCGCGGCGACGTAATGCCGATAAGCGCCACGTGCCCTGCGTGATGGATTTACGCGAGGAATTAACCGCGTTAGCGAGATTTCCCGGGCGCAATTATCGAGCCTGAAATGGTCAAACACCTGATTGCGTCGGTTATATAATATCTTTAATGCACCTTCGCATATCGTCTCGACTGATGGAGATTCAAGTGATATAATTGATAAAAATAATTTCGTCATATAATTTTTTTTTTAAATATAATTATTTTTCAATGATTTTAATCGTGTAAAATGTGTGCTCTTTTTTAATTAAATTTAAATTTATTAACTCAGCTCAGATACTCATTATATTGTTTTTATCCAAATTCTGTAAGTAGAAAAGTTTATGCAAAAGTAAAATTATAAATATATATATATAGGTATATATATATATATAATATATTTTAATATATTTTATATATATGTATATATAAAGTAATAAAAATAAACTAAAACCAATTTATCTTGCAAACGCACGTATCAGGAGTTTTGTAATATCTGCAATCTGATTTTAATAACATACAGATATTAACAGAAAGAGATAATATCAAATAAAAATATCGCTGCAATAATAAAATTCTTTTATGACTACCAATAAATTTAAACAATAAAGCTTTGTAAGTTATGGTTATATAATCAGTCCTTTCAAATTCTCCAATATTCAAAGTTGAAAAGAATTCCATTTTCCCTATTCTTTGTCCCTCATATGCATAGCTTTTTATTATTAAATTCAATATCCTATCTTTTCTGGAAAAGAGCTGATATATACCGTTTATATTAATTAATAAAATCGCTCTGGTCTGCCATTTAATTCATTTTTGAATATTTAATTTTCTGAATCTATCAAACGCAATCATATCAAGTAAAAATATTAAACATTTATAAATAGATCAATATATTAATTCCTGTAATAATAATGTGAATCGCAAAAATTGGTAATTTTTAATGAATTTTTCAATAATTAAAGAAAAATAGAAGTGATCACTTTTTCACATTTAAAAATATCGGCTGTTCATTTGCCAGTTTCAATATCCGGAATAAATCAGAAATTTTTTTGCTCTCACATCGAGATTTAAATACCAAGAATTTATTATTAATATGACGATTTATTATAATATAATTAAAATTAGAATTAATTGTATACAAAGACAGATATAAAGTATTATATATTCTAAAAAATAATATGAATAAAATAGAATGTGTAAATAAAACTAATATAAAATGAGGGTTCTTGATCTCTTTTACGTCAAGATAAATGCAAAGTGCCGCAAGAGGGTTTAAGAAAACTAGTATGCGGCAGCGCACGGTTTCTCCTAATCTGCTAATCTGTTTTCTGTAAACTCCATCACCGTGATCTAGTTAAGAGCGATTTTCGGTAGTGTGGCGCACGGTGAAAATCCTTCGATCGCTTTTGCCGATGCTTACAGTGATAATGGACGTGCCGGTGAACGCTTGCGCCGACACGGGCGGCTTCAGTCTGGTCTACAAGCAGGACATACCCGACTTCCAGCCTTACCTTGGTCCCTACCTTTTCGTGGCTGGCAAGTCGATGACACTGCACGAACGGCCGCCGGAACCGACGGCGACGCCGGAGAAAGAAAGGAGGGCAAACATTTGCGGTCCCTGGAGCAAGCGGCAACGTGCAAGGACCGCCCCGCCCATGATCCTACGCTCGAGAGAACCGAACGTGGCGGATTTTATTGACCATTTGAACGCCGCTCGATGCACCGTGGCCAATTGACGTGAAACCCTTTTAGTCGATGCCATAAGGTAAACACGAAAGCGATCGGTGAGTGCAAACCATCCTTCGATCTTTAAAGGTGCGTGTTCAGTTGCGACAAATTATAATATTACTTAACACATATATTAATACGGATTTTTTTAATACGCGTATGCGTTAAATTTGGATGGGTACGTGCTAAAATTTTAACGACGGTGTCGATTAGTCGATATTGATGAAAGAGACGTTCAAGATGGTGAAAGAGCCGCGGGAGATATTCGTTTTCTGATTAATCACGGGCACCGCCGCGCGATTGAACGCGAAATTTACGCGCCCCGTATTTTTTCACAGTAAATTTAGCGCCGCGCCGTAATTAACGAGCGTGAGATAGCGCGCGGTGTAATTAATGTTGTCATTAGCGAGGCGACGTCCGCGCGCGCCGGCATCTCTTCTTTCCGCGTCCCCGAGGAAAATCGCGTGGCTCGAAGATTGCGCTAGTTGCGCTATTGAATATAAGCGATGTAAACTTCCTTGGGATATAACGAGGCAAACTTCCTCGCGGTTGCGTGATTGACGGAATACTTTTTGCGAGAAATTTGCGACACGATGCATAATCTTGTCTCTCGACGACGGTTCTCCATCCTATACTTTCCAAGAGAACAGCAGGTTAGTCTACTTACTTCGCACAACTATATACATGTAAATATTGTAATGCGTGAAAATGAAAAAAAATATATTGAAAATTATTGTTGGGTGATTCTAAATTAATGTAGAGTCATTATTTGTTTCAGTAGATCGATTCGAAATCAGCCTCACCTAATGGCAGAAGTTTATGACGGCAGCCTCATGCAAGAACCAGACGATCCAGATAAAGACAATCGTTTTATTGATATGTACATACAATAAATTTATTTACAAATAATACAATAAATTTTGACGTCGTAAGTTATTTGTTTTTTTTTCTTGATGATATATGTTAACAAAATACTACGCTCTTACCGATTATTGTGTCGTGCTGATATTTGAAAATTCTTTGGTCACGGAAGTTTCGTTTTCTTTTTCTTTTTCTTTTAAATGTAAATGGTAACGTTCGGTTTTACCCTGCACAAATATTTATCCAAGAAACGTTAACGACGTTAAATAGGCAACCCGGCGCGATTTTCGGCGCGATTCACGCTTCACGTTTTATCGTGTGTGTCGGGATAAGTGTGTTTTTCCGTACTTCTCGCCTTATATAAACATTATATTAGCTATCACTAAAATTATAAAACAAATCGGCCGTGTCTTGCTGTAGGAGGAGCTTCCGTCCCCGTGGTGCATCGCGGCTGGATGTTCCTCTGCAACAGAAATTTTCATCGTTTCGACACTGATAATCTATGAACGGATTATAGATGGATTATACGATGTTTATATGATCTCATCATGTATTAAAAAAGATGATCTATGTCGATGCTTAATTTTTAAATTAAGATGAACTAAGGGGATAGAGAAAAAATACTCATAAAATTTGAGGTAGGGGATGCATCTCATATATTGAAGTTCTTACTTTATGCCCCAACTAATTTTATGTGCATGTCACCTCGGAGATTCATGCGAATGCGACATTATTATATTATATAAAACTCAAGTAATTATCCCTCCCTCCCTCGTGCCGCGTGTCCCAGAAATTAGCAAAGACCAACTCAATCGAAAACCAATACAGATTCCTCGTAAGTCTAAAACTAATAACGCACCGGACGTTTAATCAGTTTAGACGACAGGCTAAATTGAAGTTGCCGATACAAAACGAGTTTAAACGCTTACGCTGACGGAATTACGCAGGTGGCAGGAAGGGACAAGGTGGTTAACAAATGAACATTAACGCGAAATTCTGGTTATGTACATACATCGGTTTTTGCTGTTTTTTTTACATAGGAACGAGTAAATATTGTTGCTAGTAAAAAATACTGAAACGCGTTGTGTTGAAATTGGGGAAAAAAAAACGGTGTGCGCGGCGTATGCAAGAGCAATATCGCAGATAAATGATACTGACGCATACATGATGACGATAACATATCATCCCTTGTGTACATATTGGCGCACATGGACCGTTACATCCGGCCAAACTGTCAGCTGTTGTTCTAAACAAAACATGCCTCAAATTTGTAATTAATATATCGGCCCTTTGATTATACATTGATCCATTCATCATATTGCGGGTTAGAAAGGACAATTACGGCCGAATCTCTTCATAATTAGTAAATATATTGTTTCAAGATATTTCACACGTTTATAATTCAATCAATCAGTAAAATCAAGATAAAACAAATCTCTCAACCTTCGTTTAAATCTTTCTTCACGTCTATACATAAATTTTTTGAAATATTTTTTCCAAGTATCTTAAATTTCCTTAGACGAAATAACGAATTATATCGTGGATGAGGGTGTACTGTTTAAAGACAACGAGACAATTCGCGCAATCAATTTGTAAGCTTCGCGTAAAGTCGCATCGTGCAACTTGATTGCTTGCAGCGTGAGAGGCAAAACTCGTAAATTCCGCCGGCTTCAAAAATATATCAAGTTACGAATGAAATGAAAAAAAGCTCCTTCAGAAACGGGCGAAACAATCCGCTTTCGTTTGATTTTATTTGGTCTCGTAACCGGACGCACTCGGAAATTGCGTGAGATCTCGCGCGAAAATCAAGCTTTGTCATTGCTTTGTCATCGCGAATCGACGCATCGAGTGCGTTGCATTCGACGAGAAAGAGCGATGAAAAAAAACAAGATTTCGAAATCCGCTGCATTTTCGCAACTGTGCGTGTATACGAGAGATCTATATATCCGCGGTGTTCCGTGCCTGACCAATCGACTGGCCGTAACCATGGATTTCAAGCTTAACGCGCGACTTGCCGGATAGATTCGGAGCTCGCAATATTTACAGAAAAGTCAATCAACGTTACTTTCGCGCGGCACCCTCTCGAGTTCTCTCGCCGCGAGATGCGGCGGGCGGGCGCCACTTCTCTCGAATTCGTTGTAATCGCGGTAAAGCCGCGCGGTGCTCGAATTTTTTCCAATTTACCGGTAAACTGCAAAATATTGATTAGAAAACCAGAAAAAAAGTTTCGCGTCGACAGACCGTGAAAAATTGAAAAAAATGGATCGCAAGTTGAAAATAAAGATTCATCGAAATAATTGCTTTATAATGTGATTTGTAATGTGAATTGTTTTGTAATATTGTACATAAAAATCCTGCAAGGATATACTCATATAGGATATAATCATAGGTAATTTCGGCTCACCGTTAACAACGTGCACCTTTATGCTACTGGGATTCGCGTTGCTCGGCTCACACCGATAGATGCCGGAGTCGCTCGGCACAGCTTTCTGGATCATCAAACGACTCGTTGTCTCGGGCCCCTTTTCCGTGACGAGACTGATACCGCCACGTGGTGAATCAAAATTGATAATCTGGACAGAATTACAACATACCCGTATTTTTTTATTAAACAATGAAATTACATGCATGATGTATTCGCGATTAATTGAAAGTAGAACACAGATGCAGATATACATATATACATACATATATATATATATATATATATATATATATATATATGTATGTATATATACACGCATACACACATATATATGTATTCCAGACTTTAATCGCCTTCCTTAGAGTTTCCGCGACGCCGAGCTCAGTCATCCTTGATTCCCGGTATCCATCAAGAAACTCGGTATCTGGAGTAAGTGTGCCGACACGTTACTCCTCTGTGAAAATTCTCACCTGCTTTCACCATCGGGCTCATCGAGATTAATGATTTAACTAGCGGTTCGCGAACAACGAAACTAAATGAACTCTCATTCGAGAGTTCCATAAACAGCGCGACGGTCGCCGCAAATTACGACTGGTTCGCAGCGCGGGATGAATAACATCTGTTACATATCGTCTATTGCAATCGCTTAGAGTTAGGCAGAAAGTACTCGTTATATCACTTACGAG